TTAAGGCCCAAACGTGCTGAGGCATCTGTAACAGTGCTGGCCTTTTCCTGCATCTGATGTAGAGTGTGCGAAAGAAGGGCCAGGTCGTCAGCATAGTCCAGGTCGTCCAACTGCTTCCAAAGTGTCCACTGGATGCCATTTTGCCCTTGGGCTGTAGATGTCTTCATTACCCAGTCCATCGTCAGAAGAAACATAACTGGCAACAGCAGGCATCCTTGCCTCACTCCAGTTCTTACCTCAAAGGCATCAGTGAGTTGCTGTCCATGGACCACCCTGCAGGTCATCCCTTTGTACGAGTTTCTGATGATATTGGTTATTTTCTCTGGTATTCCATAGTGTCTCAGTAGCTTCAGAGGGTCTGCCGGTCCACGCTGTCAAATGCTTTTTCATAGTCCACAAAGTTGATATAAAGAGGTGAATTCCACTCCAGGGACTGCTCCAGGATGATACGCAGTGTGGCGATTTGGTCGGTGCAAGACCTATTCTTACGGAAACCAACTTGCTGCTTGCCAAACTGTGAGTCTATGGTATCTTTCATCCTGTTCAGCAAGACTCAATTAAACACCTTTCCTGGAATGGACAGCAGTGTTATACCTCTGTAATTGGAGCAGGAGCTGAGATCACCTTTTTTTGGGAGCTTGATGAGGTAACTCTCCTTCCACTCTGTTGGTACCCGTTCCTCTTCCCAGATCTTATTGAAAAGAGGGTAGAGCAGCTCCACGTTTGTCCTGATGTCAAACTTCAGTGCCTCTGCTGGGATGTTGTCAAGAGATGCAAGTGCTCAGACAAAAACGTGAGACAACTCAAGCTCAGATTGATGCCGTTCAAGAGGAACAGTGTTCCAATGTTGAAAGTGACACAGAACTGCACAGGTAAAAGCAAGTAAAAAAGAATTTACAAACCGATTTTGAGAGCAGGAATAAAGAATTGGCGGCGCTTGAAAAACAAGCAAAAAACAAAGAAAAACAACGAGCAAAGGTGGACATTCTCAGAGCAAGCATCATTGCAAAAGAAAGTGAAAGCCTGCGGTTTTTCCTGCATGGAAGCGAAAATCGCGCGATGGCTTTATTCTGAACTTATCGCAGATTCTTTCGTATGAAGCTTCATCATAGGGATTATTGTGTTGATTGAAGGCGGGATCCCTCAGTAAAGTGCTTATGCTTTGAATGCCTCCCATCTGGAACAAAATTCACCTGACCGTGAATACACATGGAATTTATAAAAAGCTCTTATTTGCGGGGGCAGAGGTAGACCGCTGTCAAAGATTTCGTGAGAAATTCCACAACCTTGTGTGGCACAGAAAACAGCAAAGTTGAGTTGTTGAGGCCAATGTTGTATGTGTGGACCTCCTAGGCACTGTTTTGATTCTGCCGCAGAGGTGTGTTTGAGTCTGGTTTTTTGGAATACCATATGTCGTGGAATTTTGTCACAAGTATCTGTCGGGCGTCATGTAGATTTTCATGTGGTCACTGAAGATTTTCTTATGGCTTGGCGCTGCTTCCGTGAAATTTACAGGCAGGATTGGCAATGCTGTTTTTGTTTTCATGGGCGACAATTTATAAGGAAAGCCTGCCATGCCGAGAGGTTGCTTCGGTTTTTCGTGACCCATCACACCAGTTTTTTCATGACCTGTCACTCCTAGTGTAGTTTGCATTCACTTGCTCCAAAATTTTCTGTGAAAACCAAAAACACTCTGGAATGAAGTAGGGCTATCTTTGAAAAATATTTCTGCCTTCACATTGTGCTTTTCATCAAATTCAACTTGTACAACAAACTGGTTTCTGTCTGTATTCAGAAACTGACCAGCAAACCGGGTCCATGCCTTTGTCTTTGCAATGCTTGCTTTGATTTTTGCCTCTGGCATTTCCATCTATTTTTGGATTGTCTTGTTAGATTCCATTTTGAAGATGTTATATTTGTACAATATGTTCTTCGATGGTTGTCCTCACAATTGTCACACAAAAGAACGGGGGAACTGTCCACTTTGACGAGCCGATCCCAAAAGTACATTTCATAAAACTTCTGGTGTTGCCTTGCCAATTCATGGCATAAAGTAAAAAAAGCAGGACAAATATCTTTCAAAGAGTCTGGTGAAATGCTTGCCTCTATACCTCAGGGGCATTATACTGTTGAGAGCCTCATAAAAGAGCTAGCAATAAGTTTAAAAGAAAATAATAATGACGCAAAATTAGAATTAAAAACGAATAAACCCCATTCTGTTTTAAAAGTAACAAGAGGAAATCCAACCTTGCAAAAACAAATTTTATTTAGTCACGCTTTGGCCAGTTTGATTGGCACCAATATAATATTAGGTGTGTTACAGTAAACACCCGCGTATAAGAACCTAGTGATTTAAGAACCTACAGGCTGAAATTGGGCATTTTAATACCCAAATATATAAGAACCTATTTAGGCTG